AACATTAATCTTTCTAGATCAAGCCTCAACACTACTCAGCCCAAAGCACAAAAGGCAGCATGTGTCAGAGCAGGTTTGGCAGTTGGAAAGTCTGATGTAACACCTTCCTAGTGGAAAACATTGATTCATTTGTAGCAAAGCTACTTGCTAGAAATGCATTTTGTTTGAGAGTGCTCAGGGAGGCTTCTGTTGCTGTTTGCTGTGGATGTCCATGGTGTTACCATCAGGACCTCCTGAAAAGTATACGGGGGTTTGGCTCTGGCCAGCATCACCATGTGGGCTGGGGGATCCCCCAGCCAGCGGGACATGCTGCTGCTGTTGGGTCCATTCCCCCACCATGGACTGCTCAGTTCTCCAACCCCACTGTCTCAAGCAGATGTCTGGCCAGCCCAGCAGCAGCTACCTCCTGAGCCATAGCTGCAGATATCAAAAATGCCAAGAGGAGAATCCTGACACCCAGCAGGCTGGTGACAGACCCACCAGCCACAGAGGTGGTTCTCTTGGAGACAGAACTCCAGAGCTTCGTCTTCCGAAAATAACTGTGTCATTTCCCTCCTCACCCACAAAGGAAGAGAGTTTAGTAACATCCTGAGCAGCAAACAAGTACAGGTGCTAAGCACTGTGCCTTGCCTAGGAGGAGCTTTGGTATCTGGTTCAGATAGGCACTTCACTATCTGATTCAGCACCAAATACAGTGGTGGCTTTGCTCAGGGTGTGGCAGGAAAAGAAATAAGAAACAAAGAGCAAACACATACTTAAAGCACATCTCTTTAGCTTCTGTTTTTTCTTCACTTCTGTTTTTGTTTCCTCCTTGCCTTCCCCTCCCCTCTTAACATGTTGCAGTTGTGCTGAAAACTGATGGATGTCAGAAGTCACTTTAAGTTCCTTTGTTTGAGGACTGTGCCTGTTTACTGTATCAGGCACAGGCTTTGGGAGAAATATTCATGAAAAACCACAGTACAAACCCATAATACCCAGTTTAACAAGTGAATGTTTTAAAACCTGTCAATCTCAAATATCAGGAAGTGTTACAGTATGCCTTAAAGAACCTTAAACCATTAAAACATAACAGTATCAAACTTACTTAGTTAATTTATTGAAGAAATACCTTAAATAGGTATCTGTGCACTGCCTGGATCCGTATTTTACTATGTAACTTGCACAATACCCCCAGAAGTTTAGAGGCTAATTTGGAGAATACCAATATCTGTTTAACCCTCTGATACCTTTACTACTCATTTCCCCAAACAGTTCTTTGTCATGCTAAGGCGAATGAAAACAGAAAGAAATTAAAACAAAAAAGCCAAAATTTTCAAGCATGTATGAGTTCTTATTTTCTGGCAAACAGGACTCCCCTTTACTTGAGGCAGACCTCAACACTTCCAGGTGACTTCAGCATGAGCCAATAATGCACTGAAATCTGCTCCAGCATGACCTGGCTGCATCCACAGACTGAGCTCTAGCATGAGTTAGATTTGTACCATGGCCAGTTTGCAACATCTAAATATTCCTGCCCAGAAAACTAATGACTGCTTTTCTCATTCAGAGAGCCTTCTTAAAAAAAAATCCAATAGCATTTCTTCTGCTCCTATTTCAGCCAGCCTGGAAATTTTCACCCCAATGTGCTCCAGGTTGTAACAAAGATAATGTGAGTCCATAGACTCTGTGGTAAGAGGTCTCACTCTTAAAATTAAAATAGAACTGCATAGAGGAAGTCCCTGTATAAATGAGGAGCTAACAGTTTGTTTTGTAGTGAGTCTCCAAAACAACCTTTTTATAGTATTTCTCAAAGCAGGGAAGACTGACAGAGGCATGTCGAGTGAGTGAAGGCACAATTTTAACATCCAGCACATCAAAACGCTGTCCTTCCGAAGTCACTAAGAGAGCTGTCGATGAAATTAAGATTCATTGAGACTGCTGGCTGAAGCAGACCAATCTTATAAGAAGGTAACACCAATCCCTCCTGACCTAAACCAAGCTCACAGGTTCCCAAATGCACACCCAACAGCAAAGTGTGCTGTTGTGAGCAAGATGAAGGACAGGGGCCTTCAGCCTACCCTGAGAGTAAGAGAACATTATAGCAATTAGTTTGATGGTGACAAAAGCTGTTGAAAGCCACCACAGGATGGAAAAAGGGACAGTTTTGTGCAGATTGTGTAACCAGGTAAAGAAATCTGCTGTTGTGCTCTGAATGGCACTTGAATTATCATGGAAGATATATGGTCAAAAGCTGGGCCAAAATTTTATCCCATCTGTTTTCTCTAGAACTAATTCTATCAATAAATGAAACTAGAAAAATTATCAAAGTTTATTCATACAGATGGCATCCACCAGTACCAGCTTCTGTCTTTGTGGCACTGAGAAATAGGTTTGATGTATCTATGTGGAAATCTTAGGAGAAAAGTGAAATATAGAGACTTCAGCTGGAGCTCAAGTGATGCTTTGGTTTGATTTTAAAAGAGATCTGCCCAAATGACACCTATACAGGATTAGGATACACTCTGTAACACTGCCATGTTTCAGATTTCTAATTAAGAACACACTTAAACATTAATAGACTTCTCCAACATCAAGAGACAGTTTTTAGCAGCATGCAGGTTTTCACAACTCATTAAATGGTTAACAACTCACACTGATTGAGATGACACAGCAGAGGCATCAAAAAAAAAAGTTGAGAAAAATAGGCAAATATCAGTTACACACTGTAAGCCTCAAAAACTTCAGAAGATGCTGTCTATAATACACTAAGTCCCATTGTGGCTCAGTAGCAACAGCCCATAATACACCAGTTCCCACTGCTCAGAAGTCTGTGCGACTGCTTAGTAGAGAACCAAGCTGAAGTCTCTGAGCAGCACAGCAAAAACCGTGCTCACTACAGCACTAGAGATCAGGATGGGCACTCCATCCCACTTGTACGGGATACTATGAAGCTTGTCACTGAAAAGAAATAGTAACTTCTGGGACCAGAAATAGAGAAATCCAAACCAGAGCTGTGTACAGCTGTTTCAATTAAACTAGCACCACATTGGAGGCTGTGGTGTTGTGCCATTCAAACATCAGGAGAAGAATCAAAATGTGTCTGTCACCATTTTAGTTTCTGGTTCCTGCCTCTCTCCAGGTGGGGACAAACATGCCCGAGCTCATGGTCTGATACAGATGTCTCCTGTGCTGCTCTGGCAATCCCAGCCCTAAAGAGAGGGTCTATCAAGGGGACCACACACTCATGCTTTGTCAAAAGATGGAGTATCCTTTCCAATCTAGGGTAGAGGAAGTTTGTACAACAAATGCTGCCAAAAAAGCGAAGTTTTTTGGTTTTTTTTTGTTTTTTTTTTTTTTGTTTGTTTTTTTTTTTTTTTTGTAATTTGATAATAGTGTACAGCAGGAGATTTAAAATACAGAGTGCTTCAGCTGTTCACTCTATTCCGAAAAGAGAATGAACAAATGTACGTTACAGATGTAATTGGATTGAGAAGTAAAGTGAACAAGAGATGCTGGATTTAAATTAATTTCCTTTGGACACAAAGAGGTAAGTTGCAGAGAAGGAATAAAATAAAGAAAAATAACTCTGAGAATTCAAACTACTTTACCAAATCTCACAGCTCTGTGGAAAATGCATTTCAAATGACTCTAAGACATTGCAGTAGTAACATAAAAACCACTACAAAAACAGCCCAGGAAGAGAACATGTTCTTTTTATACAATTTCCCTGTCTGTGCTGATTTGTATATGCAGGCAGGACAGCTTTCTTTTTCTCCAAAAAGTACAGAAAATTTGAAATGTAATCTTACAACACTACGCTAAAATCTGTCTCCAATTAGCATGCACGATTTCAAAATGAGCTTCAAGCCACGTGTGATATCTTTCAACTCTGACCCACATTTCTGAAAGAAAAACAAGTTGCTTCTTAAGATAAGGCTATCAGTTACAAACAGTACGTCTCAAAGTTTGCAGCAAACTACATGTTACCAGGAAAACAAATCTTCACCATAGAACAAATCTTGCTAATTCTGTCTCTCCTTTACGTGGCCTGTAATCAAAGCATTATATTGTGTTATTTGAAAATCTTCCTAAATTACTATTTCCTTGTAAAACTCTGAAGGCCAGAAAGAGTTGTTTGCCCACTGACAGCAATGGAGTGATCTTTTCTGATAGAAAACTTCAAGCGAGATGGAAACTCAGGTCGCAATCTTTTTCTGGACAACTCTGAAACAGAGTTGAAATTAGTCTGGATCAAAACAGCCTTATGCAGGAAACAAGCTACCATGACATCTTCATTGAATAGCTCCATGTGGAACAGCATTGAGAGTGCCCATAGATAAAACAAAAGTATTTTTTGTACAGTGTCTCTTATGTCTTCCTGTGCCCTATTCCTATTAGCACCACTGATGAATAATAGAGTGGTACAAAACTTTTTGATACTGACCAGAGCAAGAGATACCTCTATCCATCTCTTCAGTCTCTAGCAATTCCAAGAATTAACTAGATACCTACCCTTACCATTCACTAACTCTTACAGTCGCCACTGCTACTAATCACCTCCCCCGTGGTCGCCAACAAGGAAGCCAGTTAATCAAACAGGGCTAAACTGCACCTAGCAAAGGTAAATGCTGAGAAACATGATCTAATCTAATTTCCCAGACAGTGTCACCAGACTTTTCTACATTTTGGGGACAATTAGTTAGTACTGGCAGGGATAAGAGAAGTGATTAGTGGTTTGCTATACTAGAGAGGATCAGATCTAAGCTGCCTCTTGCATAGGATGCAACAGATTTGCTAGAGCCTGAATACTAATTTTGCCTTCAAAGCATCATCTCACATCTGTAACCCCTACGTTGTTGCTCTTTGCTTTCAAATTCACAAACACCAACAGAAATAAAATAATTGTGTAGTTAGCAAAATCCATACTGAACACATACAAAATACATGCAATTATGATTATTTTAGAAATCTTTAGCAACAGGTTTCCTAAACTGCATTAAGATGAACTTAAGGCTCCTTACCTACAGCCTCACAGATGATGTCGTCTCATCTCAAACTTCCATCAACCAGCAATAGTTTTAACTATTTCAAAAAACGGAAAACATCTAGGTCACATGTCTACAGACAGCATTTGAGTTAATCTCCCACAGCTCATAAAGACAGAAAGAAAGCAGGAGAAAAAAAAGTACAATAAAACCACTTCCTGCAACAGCAGAAGCTAACCATCTCACCAGTGAGCAACTTACACCCAGGTTTAGTGCAAAACTCTTCCAGATTGCATAAAAAGCAAAATTTTAAAGTATGAAAGCATCTCCTCTGCTAAAATTGCAACAAACAGGGAGGGTTAGTTTTTGCAGAAGGTAAACATGAGGTTTAAAAGGAAATGCTGAAAGGAATTACAATTCTAAGCTTCAAGACAACTTCCCTTTTCTTACCTTCAATGAAACCCTCTGAGTACTGAAATAAGTAGCTCACAACAAATATGTTTTACTATTTTGAACTGCAGCTTTAGTAGATGTGACACTTGCCATCTTGTTAGTTTAGATTTATAAAATAGCAAATTCGAGCCAATCAGAGAGTTTGCTACTAAAAAAACCCATGAGTTGTACTATTGCCTGTTGAAGGTCGCTCAGACAAACACTTCTGTTTCTTTGATTTTCTGTTTTAACACTTCTCCATGGAGCAGCCCCTGGAGAAGCGCAGGCACACACAGCTGCTGCCCCGCTTCGCTTCCCACAGCATCTTGCCCCGTAACGGTCCCTCCCAGGCGGGGGGGAACCCAGAGAACCAGCAGATCCAGACACAGCTCTGCACCTTCAGGGCTCTAGAAAAGCCTTTTCCTTGCATATTCCTTCACCACCATCTTCCCTTGTGACTTTTTTCCAGCAAGCACTGATAGTATCTTTCCAGTATTTTTAACTCAACTTACAAAATGAGGGCTCACCTCCCCGGTGCAGCGGGGGTTCCCTCGCAGGGCAGGGTGGTTGTGTTGTGTGTAGGAGGACCACCATGGTGCTGGTCAGAGCCTTCTGCTGATGTTTTGGCAGAACAGGGGCATCTTTTCTGGTTGTCTCCCACAATAAAATAAAGAGCTACCATACAATCTGAGAAAATCAAGGCCATCCTGAAGTTTAAGGATTTGTCCCAGCAATGAAGCAAAATGAATCCTATTGTCAGGGCATACCAGTGGAGTTCTTCAAGAAGATGTGTTCCATCTGTGCAGATGTCTAGCAAGAAATTCATTGAGTGCCCTAAGCAACATCCTGCAGAACATCCCATGGAGAAAGGACAGAGATAATTAGGAAAAAAGGTCTAGGGCTGAGGTTGGAGTGGAGCTTAGGAATATCTAGAAAGGGATCCTGACAAATTTTACAATGTTGTAGAGAAAAGACTGATTTGCAGACAGATCATTTCCTATTGCAGCAAAAAAAGATGCAAGAAAGTTTCTGTAGAGAACAGCTTTAGTACATCTTGCACTTACCAAAGCACATGGGAAGCAAGACTGTCAGGGACTCAAGAAGAATACCAGAAAAAAAAAGGAGGAACGTAACAATGCTGAAAGAATGGCAGAGCCATTAGGCTACAGAGTAACCTTTACATTATTACTATTGATTTTGTAGAAACTTCTACAACCTCAATTCCATAGCCAAAGATCCAGCTGTGCTAAAGGCTGTACAAAGCCAGAACCAAGACTGTCGTTCCCAAACACTTACTGTGTATGTCAAGAGGTAACAGACACGTAGAGACAGAAGAGGGAGTTGAACAGCATGACATCTGGTCTTCTCTGTTCTAAAGTATCATTTCTCAGTGAGCACTGCATTTTAGGGATGTATTTTAAAGATGGACTTTTGGAATAAAAAAGTGGATATTGTGTATGAATGGTGATGAGTTGTTTCTCCCAGGTGTGGGGAGGTGAGAAAGCAATACTGTGCTTTTCTGTAAACTAACAACTGCTAGTGATCAAAGAACCTCCAGCAGCAGGTTAATTAACTGGTAGCTTTTTTTAAAAAAAAATAGTATATGTTTCAATTACCTTTGTCATATGGAATAAATTTTAATTGATAAATCTATTATAGCCACGTAGATCTTAAGATTTTCCTCAAATAAAACCATCAAAAGCATCTTTACAATTACAGACTACTGGTGAACAGTGTGGACAACAGAACTTCATCACTAAAATGTGAATAAACCTTCAGCAAACCTGTAAAAATACTGTAGCAGAACTTGCCTATGTTACCTTGTCCAAAACCTAGATTACCGGGGACATGACATTTTTCATAAAAAAGTCTTTCACTGTACACCTAACATTTCAAGTCAAGTTGCATACTCCGTCTGATTTCCTTCACATCCATTTGACAGTATGTCAGTAGTGACAAAATTCTATAAAAGGATGGCAGCTTTGCATACTGCTTAAACTTATGCAGCACAAGCTTCCTGTGTGATCTCTGGAAGGCTGAAAATACTTTAGATGTGTAAAAAAAACAGTTTAGCAAAACCGAAGAGCTCATTTAATCCAAGTAAAACTAAATAGGAAACAGAACCTGCATAGACATTACCTGGAGCAGGTTGCTGCTCAATAGGTTGGTCTTTGTGTGTTTGCTGTGCAAGTTAAAGATGGAGCATCATTTCTGAAGCTCATATTTCTTGTCCCTATTTCAGTGACTCATGGCGTCACTGCTTATGAGACATGTCATCAAGTTGGTGAACATCCAGATTTCTACAGCTCATAACTGAGAGCATAGAACATTGAGGCTAAAACAGCAGTTTTAAAAATTGCTATTGACTGAGGATGTTGAATGCCCAGCAACTGTTACCAACTGTTATAATAAAATCAACAAGTGACCTAACTTTCATCAGGTGCTTGAACAGCGATTCCAAGACTTGTTCTGGACCAGTAGTCTCCTGAGATGGGAAGAATACTTGACTTTTTTTTTCCTTTTACCTAGTTCAGCCTTTACTCTCTGTTGGGATGACCGACAGGCAGCCCATAGTTTGGCTTGTTTAGCAGACACCCAGTGGCAAATCTAATTCAGTGTGTAAATCAAGCTATAAAAGACAATACAAACCTGGACAGCATGCAGCATAAGCCTGGAAAAACAACTGTGCATCCAGTGGCTGGTTCCAGAAGAAAATATTTTTTTTAGTAATGAAAATGGATAAAGTTCCAAAACTTTGCAATTCACTCAGAAAAACCCTAGGAAATTAGTAGACTATGGGATAATTAAGAAATAATTTATTATTTCCCACATTCTTCACCAGAGAAATAATGTTTTCATATTTGTAGTAGGTTTTAAAATATTTAAATTAAAAAGGAGAACAAAGAATTATGTCTGTATGGACAGTAATTCATATTCTTGCTCACAGCAATTGTTTGCTCAGAGAGCTGATGTCCATTCATTACACATTTTTTTTTTTTTTTTTTTTTTTTTGCTATAAGGGCTTTGAATATTTAATCCCAGCAAAAACATTTCTAGGAGCATATTCTTATGTATCGAGAAGGCCATGCACATGGCCATGTAGCAGCTCCAATAGTTTATAGTCCAAGTTAACAGCAGTCTCTAATATTACCTGTTTGGGCAACAAATGCTTATTATGTAGGAGCTTGTATGTAAATGTCAGTGTAAATATACAGTAATGGTTAAATTCACACAATCCTCTCAACCATAACACGCATTATAAACATTCTGGTATCATCTTCCAAAACCTTTTACTCTGAGCTGATTTTTCCCCTAAACAATCCATTTTACCTACCAGAGTTTTAAAAGCACAAAAGATATTTTTAAAAAAAATTGTCACAGGTGGTAGAAAATAGATCCTTAGAGATTCTCCAGCAGTTTAATGTTGGCTATATGGAAGGAACATATGCGCTGTGACTTGAGGTCTAAAACCCACAACATTCAAATTTTAGGAGACAAATGATCTTACATTAAAACCTCTCCTAATGGTCGAGCTGCTGAAGTTTTGTAGCAGATATACTTTACAAAGCATCAGAGAAGTTTAGGACAGAATTCTCTGGACATTTGCTTCCTAATAAAGACCATTTTGCCTTATAATGAAGTTTAGAATTAGAAAAATCCATAGCTAAGGAAGTAACATATTTCTTTATTTTTACACTCATAATTTTTCAAGCCTATCTAATGTAATTCTGCATTCTTAAAAAAAAAAAAAAAAAAAAAAAGGACACTGAATTTAATGAAAACTACTAAGTAAGAAAATTCTATATAAATTCAAACTCATCCTTTTCTTGCTCTTTCCCAGGTCTTTTAGGGATCTTGACACTTGTTTTAAAAGCCAGCCCTGCCTAGGGTCATTTTTAATAACTTAGAAAAGCCACTCCAACCCATTGTATAGCTATACTGTACTAAAAAAGAGACAAAAACCAAGCATATGTTGATGCATTATGTAAAGACTTTCCTTGACAGGATTTAGTTACATGCAAGCTTTAAATGCAGTGTAAATGCATTTTCTGGAGTGTTAGGCCTCCAAGTGCTAAAAGTGCTACAATACCAAACTGCCAAAAAGGTGGTTTTACATCACACAATAATGGACCTTAAAAAGACAAATGAGTCATGCACTTTGGGTGACAATATCTTAATCTAGGCACCTGTGATCAAGTCAGAGTAACAAAGTGGTGCCAGCAAAATCTTCAAAGCCCTTCTCTTCTCTCTGGTGTTCACCACTGGCTTGAGGTGTGACCCAAACTCTCCACACCAATAGCTTGTTGACTGGGGATGTTCCAAAAACTGTCAATGTTTTCCCAGCAAAGGAAGTATGAAGTGGCTGTCCGTGATATAAAACTGATACTCCAGCCAGTGTTGTTTCTACCTCTATTAAAAAAGCTTCAACTACATGGTGAATAAGTGGGGAAAATACCAAGCCCTGTAAAATCCCACACTGAGGACGAATGCAGAAAAAAGCTGAGATATTCTGGGATGTTCTCTGCTTTTGCTTCAGCCCTTGAGGAAAAAGAGGCTCATATCTGCAGTATCGAATTCCACATTCACAAAAAGATAAATGTAAGCATACAGCAACACCAGGCATTCATAAAAATAATGTGGCCCCTACCAGATCTAGTGGAAACCAGAATTGCTGGTGTCACTGGTTGTCTCTCCCTAATACAGCTTTTACCTGAGTGGTAGGCTCTGCTCTCGCTCTGCTCCCTCCCACGCTGCCATCGCAGTGAGTCAGAAATGCCCGGGCAGATGTGTCAGAAGAAAGAAGTCAAGAAAAACAAGAGA